GAAGCACTGGGTGATAAATGGATGTTCTAGGTTGGCTTTCTCTAATGGGTGCCTTAGAAATAGTAGTAATTCCATGGAGACAGAGATCATTACAATGTTGGGCCAGCTTTCATTTGTAAATAAGATTTTCCATCTGACAATTCATTCAGGGCAAATTCTGCAAAAGAATGATTTTGGTTTAAATAGGTTTTCATTACTTTGGGAATAGTTACCAGTACACTATGATGCATCTATAATTATTCCTATTAGCTATAATAATAATTGTGAGAGAGTTATAAAGAGAATTAATTGTCACATTGTTTTCCCAAAGGTTCCTGCAATTTACAGCTCCCCTTGAAGGTATATGTAAATGCTCATCTCTCTCTCTCTTTTTTTTTTTAGAAATTTTTTAAACAATTTATTTATTTTTACTTTATGTGCATTAATGTTTTGCCTGCATGTACATCTGCACGAGGGCATCAGATCCCCTGGTACAAGAGTTATAGACAATTGTAAGCTGCCATGTGCGTACTGGGAATTGAACCCAGGTCCCCTGGACCTAGTGCCCAATGCCAATAAGCCATTTCTCCGGCCTGAATGCTCATTTCTTCTTTGCTCAATGACAGGCACAGATGTTTTGTTTTAATCACTGAATACCTAAAAGCAAATGTTGTATGTTATACTAGTTGGTCAGTTTTGATTAGTAATGGAGTATCGTTTCCCTTGTTCACTGAACCCATAGAATTACTTGGTGAATGAATTAATTTAGCTAATTTTTAAAATTTTAGAATATAGTGTTTAATTTCTGCAATTATATTTTAAAAAAAGAAAAAGAAAGGGAAGGAGGGAGGGAAGGAATGAGGAAGGAAGGAAGGAAGGAAGGAAGGAAGGAAGGAAGGAAGGAAGGAAGGAAGGAAAGAAGGAAGAGCCAGGCTGGTATTCCTGTCATAACAGCCCTCATGGGGGCTGGGCTGAGGCAGGAAGATGATTTTGAGTTTGAGGCCAACTTGGACTACAGAGTGAAACTCTATCTCAAAAACAAACAAAACCAAAAATAAAAAAAAAATAGGACAAATAGGAAAAACTCATAAATTGGAAGGAAAAAAATGGGACACTACTTTTGCTTTTCAGATGTCTTTTATTTTTCTAGAAAAACGACTCAGACCAAGCACGGAGGGAAAGATCTCTTCCCAAATATAAAACTGAAATACGAACTGTTGACATTTCCACCCCTCCATCCCTGTTCTTTACAGAAATATCAGTGATAGGCTGCTGGGAGCCAAGTTAAGGAATAAATAAAATACGATTATTGCCTTGTCTGCTTTATCTCCGAAGTGATAAGCGCTCTGGAGGCTATTTAACTGTCCTGTGAATCATTAACTTCATTATGTTTACAGAGAATATGTTATTTCCTCTGCTTCTTGGGAATATGGGTCCTCCATCAGCAAGGGGACCGGTTGCTGAGAGCGACACAGGTGTTGGACCTGAACCCCATATTAGCGGTGGGTAGAGTCTAAGGCAGGATCTGAGTGTGGTGCTGTGGACTTAATGAACTTTCACGCACCGGTCCCTGAAAAGCCTTTTATGGTCTCTGTTGGCTCCATATGGCATTCTGATGAGCTTACACTCCTCTTTAAGTGCCTCTCTATCAGAAAACAAGAGCAAAGCAGAAACAAAGTGAGTCATCTGGTTTTGTCTTTGCTTTCCCGGCATGAGATAATGTGGAGGTGTTAATTGCAAGACTTCACCGAGTCTTGGCTAATAACAGTGTGCAAACAAATGCGTGTCAGGCTCAGCCACAGAAAAGCTTCTACTAATAAGGTAAAACTAGCAATTAGCGCTGACAATGAAGTAATACTTTCCGTTGAATATTCATTAATGGAGTCCTTGTTTAGGATAAGGGAGGCTTCGGATTGTCCAGATGGAAAGCCAGACTAGGAAGCCTGGCCATCCCTTTCAGTGAATTCAGCCCTATTTGGCGAGCAGGCATATTGAATTCATCCCCTTTTGTGCTAATGCACTGACCCTCTGCTTCAAAGGCAGAGCCTTGATGACCACTAAGACTCCTCAGTCCGTGACCATAGCATAATGGGGAGCAAATTGAATTCCCAGAAAAAGAAAAACCATATAAGCAGATGATGTGCTCCAAACACTGTGGGGTTTTTGCTGTTGTTGTTGTTATTGTTGTTGTTTTTAATTGTTCACCGCAATCCTGGGGTTTCTAGAATAATGAATGAGATGAGCTTCACTAGCCTATTCTGTCTTCTCTCTTTTCTAGAAGGCAGCTTGACAAGTGTGAGAAAGCAGGATTTGTCTTTGTCCCTGGTTCCTGTCACAGAGCACCTAAAGTCTCTTGGTTTCCTCAGTGTTTGAAATACCCATTGATGTGTCTAAGAAGCCCCTTTGATAACTCCTGAGTAGATGCTAACGAGTTGACTAAGAGTGGATCCCAAAGCATCAGGATGGGGCCAGTCAACAGCCTGAGCGAGGGACTGGAGCCCTGCACGCTGGAGCTTCCTTCCGGCACCGCCATGATCTCTGGGAAGGGGAGAGCAAGATGGATTATATGACACTAAAACCTCCTCCTGAACAGCAAGATTTGACAATATCCTAAACACATGGAGACGTGGAAAGGGTGATCCTCCCAAAGAGGGCATGGAAGCCGCACCCACATCACATGCTGGGCCTCATTCTCCATTTCTTCATGTGGCTTGATCTGTATCCAGTATAGCATCCTTAATTATAACCTGGTACATGGGTTTCCCTCAGCTATGAGCTTTCCTATCAGAAGTGTGGTAGGAAACCCCTCAAAACACACACACACACAGAGAGAGAGAGAGAGAGAGAGAGAGAGAGAGAGAGAGCACTGGGAACCTTGATTTCCCATTGGCATGCAAGTAGGAGAACCATCTTGCAGGACTGAATCCCTGACCTGTAGAACCTGACTCTTTAGGTAGACAGAATTCTTAGTGGTGAGAATCAATGGGTCGTAGAATACGTAGTTGGTGTTGCCGGAAGAATTCCTTGTTATAGGGGCTCTTCTTATGTATCTGATGATGAAAGTATTCCAGGTTTGTTTTTTCCTTTTACGCTTTTCTTGGAGGCAGCTCTCAGACTGTAGAGAAGCTCCCCTGACGGCACCATTGGGTCTTGATGGCTCCGTTACACACATTATTATCTTTGAAACATGAGAGCAAATTACAATACCTGGATGATGCCTGCCTTTTTAGAATTTATTAGAAAGTATGCTCATGTGACGGGCTTTACTGCCAAGAACATTTTATTTAG